CCACATACAAGGTTATCAATGTGAGCCTTTGTGTCAAAACAGCACCAAGATGTTTTGTTTGAGGCATCAAGTTGCCAATACACTCAGAAGTTGGCTGTAAGGAGAGGCTTCATTGGATCTCCTGCATGCAGGGCACATGAAAAGGAGCATGGGAGAATGGACTTTTCCCCCTTTACTGCTTTCACAATGCAAATATCCTCCCTGGAGCTGCTGCTTGGTCCATGTGTAGATTTTCCCTTAAAGAGACAACAGTAATTCTGGAAAGGGGGGGAGGAATTTCCACTGGGGAAACGACATGGGAAAAAGGCTTAACATCGCCCCCCCCCATACCATGACTCTAAAAACAACGACCAGAGATCCAATCATAGTTCTCATGCTGTTCCCTCTAAGCTGAGTTAGTGTGAGCTAGCTCACAGTTTTTTAGCCTCTGGCTCACACATTTATTTTCTTAGCTCAGGAAGGCTGGCTCCAGAGCAAACTAGTTTATGCAGCAGCCAAATCACTGGCTCGCAACTTTAATGCCAGTAGCTCACAAAGTAGAATTTTTGCTCACAAGACTCCACAGCTTAGCGGGAGCACTGGCCTGTCATGGCTAGTTTTGGTACTTAGTGAATGGCCTCTCTGTCAACGGTACATTCCCCATCTACAAAACAGGTTAAAATGACCTCACTGGGTTGTCACAAAGATGTCATTTCTAAATGCTTTGTACAGTAAAAATTATCTATAAATTAAAATAATCAGCTTAGTGGCATGCAAGTTTTAAAATTAATTTATGCAGCATTTTTAACTTGCAATGCACTTTACTGTGACTCTCTTGTTTATTCTCACAACCATTTGTAATAGCTGGTGGAGATTCTCATTTTGCAAGTAAGGCCTTAGAGAATGGACACGATCCAGCCATAGTCAAGTACTTTTAAAGTGCAGTTTCCAGTGGGGAAATTTTAGGTACATTTGGGGGGGGGTATTCTGTGTGTGTGTGTGTGCGTGCGCTTGGAAGTCTGGAAGTCATGGTGACTTCTGGCAACCCCCTAGTGGGGCTAGGACATTTCAGAGAGGTGGCTTTGATTACCTGCCTCTGCTTCCCGGCCCTGGTATTCCTTGGAGGTTGTCCTTCCAAGTACCTGCCAGGGTCGGCCCTGCTTAGCGTCTGACAAGATCAAGCTTGCCTGGGCTATCCAGGTCAGGGCAATTCAGGTGCATTTTTTACTCCTCCTGACCCGAACCCTTAGCTGGATCACGCCTACAGTAATTTAACCAGGGTCAAATAACAAATTGATTTTTGAGGTGAACCTGAACCCCTGTCCAATACTGACACAGTTTCTAATCAGTGTTCCCTCTAAGCTGAGTTAGTGTGAGCTAGCTCATGGGTTTTTAGCCTCCAGCTCACATTTTTTGTCTTAGCTCAGGAAGGAGGGCTCCAGAACAAACAAATTTATGCAGGAGCCAAATCGCTTGCTCACAACTTTAATGCCAGTAGCTCACAAAGTAGAACTTTTGCTCACAAAACTTCACAGCTCAGAAGGAGCATTGTTTCGAACTGAGGACCAATTCACATTTTAAAAACAAAAACAAAAAATGTTCACCTAAAAACAGAATAAGTCTTTACGAATGTATATATCATTTAGGTAGACTGAAGAAGCCAGAAGACTGCCACACCCTGTTGAGTAGCAAAGTGAAGCCTGCTGCTCTGGGATGTGAGAAAGTACATCTGGGTAGAAACAATTTTACCTGTCTGCCTTCGTAATATTGCACCACTCCTGTTCCTTCTCTGTCCTCCATACACAACAGTTTATTAAATGTTTAAATGACTCTGTTCCTTACTTGGAATAATCTTCAAACCATTGATAAAATCTTGACCGTGTATTCTCAAATACTGTCTCTGGTTGTCCTTTCAAAATCAGAGTTAGTTTGTCCATTTCTGCTGTTTTTAACATTTTGCTTAAAAGTTCTTGTCTCGAAGGTGTCTCTGTTAATCTCCAATGTTTAGCATACAATATTCTAGCAGTTGTTATAAACAACAGTTTTAACTAGAATCATCCATACTGCTACCCTCAAATAAAGGAGTTTCTTTCAGGATAAGGAGGCCTTGTTGACAAATAGAGGCTAATGTGGCCCTCCATATTAACACAGAATCTGTGTGAAAAACAGCAACTCATTTAGGAATTTTCCACATCACTTTTTCGTTGTCGGATTTTTTTTAATTCAGGAAGAAACACAGGAGGTAATACAATAGTTCTGGCAAATAAAGCTTATGACAGGGTGGATTTTGGAATCTGCATTATTTGTTGGAACCTAACCCAGACTTTGAAACAGAGCAGATGTGTAAAATAACGGGGTGGGTGTGGGTTGACTACCTATTTTTTTAGGCTATTTAAAATAACAATTTCGGTTGCGTAGTCCATTATTGTGCCGTGCCGTCTGCGTTCAATTGCCCAATTCATAGACATGAAATGAAAAGGTTTTATGGATAAAAGGAAGCTTGGGCAGGACATTTGATTGGTAAAATAACTTAAATCACACTTTTACAGTAGCTTCCAGCTGTCCTGCAGCACAAGTTAATGAGATCACATGGAAACAGATTGAAAACCAGGAAACATATTTTTACACAAAAGCAAAACAGTGGAAAAATTATTCTATACACATAAATGCTGGAACTCATTTCGTTTTTCTTCACTTTCAGCAACACAATAGGGATCGTTTTAACTGCAAGTGATTTTTCTTCCTTTTAAAAAGATTATCTGTAAACTACTGAATGATGAAGATTAAAGCAGTCTAATCACCATAAGATTTTCCCTAAAGTTAAAAACTCACAGACTATTCATCTAGGTGATTTTTTTGGTGGGTTTTTTCCAGTTTATATTGAAAATGTCAGGATGGCATTAAGTACTATAAACATTTTTTTTTAAAGCTTTCATTTAAGAAGGCCCTTTCATTTAAATTAAGTTGCAGTTTTGGAAATCACAAAGACTTCAATCACCTGAGCACTTCCTAAGAGTTCTCATTTGCACAAGTTTGACATGCACCCCATTCAGAATTTTAGGGCACAAACGTAAGTGGTAGGGAGATCAAGGTGGGCAGCCATGTTGGTCTGATGAAACAGAACAAAGTGAGGGTCCAGGGGGGGGGGGGGCACCTTTAAGACCAACACAGTTTTATTCAAGGTGCGAGCTTTCGTGTGCAAGCACACTTTGTCAGACAATAAAGTGGAATTACAGAATATAGTTGTATTGTCTGACAAAGTGTGCATGCACACAAAAGCTCGCACCTTGAATAAAACTTTGTTGGTCTTAAAAGTGATAGGTAGATATTGTATACTTCCTCACTTCATTTTACATGCTCTTCTCCATATGCCATCCACACTGAATTGTGAGATTTCCAGAGTACTGACATGGCTGCATATGAGTGCTGCCTAATTTACAGGGACAAAATGCCATGACTCTGTATAGAAACACTTCCAAAAAAGGCCTAAAAGTCAGGGAAGAGACAGCTGGAGGTGGGCAGCCAATTACAGCAACTCAGTTATCAATGTCTACACTGTGCAACCCAGAGATATCAACTGAGTTTGGATAAACTAACAGGCTGCAGCTTTGTGGGATGCTCTAAAGCCATCCTCTTTATCATTTGCCATTACTAAGCATTGCTTGATTTGACATAACTGTTATGCTTTAAGCAGGTAACAACCCAGGATCTCAGACAAGCTCAAATGCCCATCAGAATCTGATCTGTCCAATTCAATCCCATTTTGTAGCACCTTTGCCTGGAACAGAGGTCTGTTCAGCTTGGCCTTTGTCCGGGGCTACTTTCTAATCCCTCGAAGCAAAGAGGACTGTGGCTGCATCTCACTCCACAAAGGAGCAGAGACCATATTCTTACATCACAGAAATCTGCGATATGGACAAGCCATTCAGAATGAAAAACGGAATAACCAAGCAGTCACTGTTATGACTTTTCATGCACGATTAATGGAACAACAGAACCTACTAAGATCACTACAGGTTAATATTATCATTTTATCCAAGATCCTACAAATTATGGTATGGAATACAAACAGGAAATAAAAATCTAGGCCAGGCTGGTGAAAGATCAGACTATCCACACCAGGCTCAAATAGACTCCGACAAGACCTATTCTAGATTTGTCCTCACTTGGGCTACGGTACTGCAACTTATGGCTAAACGAGACCTCCTCCTCCCATCAAATCCAACTTATTGCACGTGGCTTCATTTCTAATACACTCTCTGTTCTGACCCGCTGTTGAGATTCCCGATTGGATGGAGCCTCAATGCACCTATAGCTCATCTGTCTTGCTCCAACCTATTTGAATTCACCTGTCTACCCTGACAATGTTTAACTGATATTATGCCCTACAGTGTTTACTGCATTGTCAAATGCATATTTTGTACTATGTCTCTTTAACTATCTGTATTGTGTCTATAACTCTAATAAAGCTGTTTTGAAAAAAAAGATCAGACTACACATTATTAGGGTAAAAAGTTATTAGATTAGAACTTTAAATGTCATTGTATTTTATGTTTTGTTCTGTTATTTTTAGGGTTGGCTCCCATCAAAACATCTGTATGGGGGGGACGATTCCCCACTTCTGCAGCAGCTCTCTGCTTCTCCCTCCTCATGCTTCTCCTAGTACCTACCTCTAAGGGCATTTAAATATTTTAAAGCTTGTAAAAACAAATTAGCAAAAACCTTAATAAACACATAGCTAACCAACCAGCCCAGAGCAGCCAAGCAACAATCTCAAAACCTACAGACAGCTTGAAGCTGCCTTTTAACTCGTCAGAGTGAAAACCAATCAGGACACACCACTTAAGAAATGTGCAGACTTGGCTTCAGCAGAGATCTGTGGTCATCATTTCTTTTGACTCTTGAATTATAAAAAAAGTTGTAAAAGAGAAGGATTAGTGGAAAGGCAGAAAGAAAACTACATTTAAAAAACCAGCTCTTTAAAAACGTACATACAACGTACATACAAAAACAAATTGTACCTCATGTATGATGTTGGAGGCTTTGATTTGGCCCACTGATAAGGATGCTGTGGCACCGAGAGATACTGATCACAGAAGCTTCCTTTCCTGATGTGCTGGAATCCAGGAAACTCTTCTGGCGATAAGTCAGTTGTTGGTGATATAGTCCCATGTTCATCACCACTCGGTTCAGTCTTGAGTGTCATAGAAGGGGTGTGATCTATTGCAGTTTTCCTGGATTTGATAGGAATCCCATCATTCATGTCTATCGTGCTATCGGTGGTGAGGGCATTGATAGCTGCAACAATGGCCGAACTGGTGTACTGGTTAGTGTTTCCCAGCCACGTCTCGTCAGTAACACTAACCCTTGGAGAACTCTGGGGAGAGGGTGTTGGAGAGTGGTGCGGTGAGTAGGAAGTCTGTCTGCCATTCAAACTGTATTTTCTCTTGTTACAAGGAGAAGAGGGCCTCGAGTTGCGAGTACTCACCCAGTTTTCCTCTGTAATGCTTGTTCTGGGAGATCCAGAGGGAGAATGCCTGGGTGAATTAAGTAATGTGCAGGCTACCACGCCGCGTGGATATCCCTCCTCGGTGTCAGTGGTCTTAGGCGATACACATGGCGACTGCCACGGAGAGGTCTGGGGAGAAGTATAGGGATAAGAGTAGTTGGATTCATAGGAAGAGGCTTCTGAATTGCAACTTCTGGAAGACAAACTGCTTGCTGGGCTTAGGCACGACGGGTCTCTATAAGCCTCAATGTTTGGTAAGTTCAACGTGGCAGTAGAAGGTGATCGCTTTGCATTTGGGATGGCCTCCTCAACCTCAGCATCGTGGAAGAACTGGTTGTTGTTGTGGTGCAGTCCCAAGTAAGAGGTTATTTCAATTCTAGGACTTTCTAGTGCTGGCACTCCATTAGGTCTGACATTTGGAGACAGATAATATCCAGCGGTGCCGCTGTCAGTGTGCCCTCCGTATCCCAAAGGATGATTAGTTGATGGGACAATCGAAATGACTGGATTAGATGTCTGAAGGCCATGACATGGAGTTGACAATGAAGGATGTGCCACACTTAGAGGCAAGCCCGAACTTATATTTGAAGATGCATAGATATAATGTTCTGTAAAAAAATAAACAAACAGGGGGGAAAACAGAAATAAAAGGAATGGCATGAGATGCTGAACACACAAACAAATAACTTATTAGTAAACCAAAATCCTAACATGAAACAGTGGACAAGTTGACAATTTCCTTGGATTCAGATCCTGCCTCCAACATTCACTCAGTGACCAGCGCTGGGCAAATCAAATGAATACCTGTAGCTCCCTGGTACCAATTGAGGCCCCTAGCGCAGTATTGTACACTCTGGCAGCTGTTCTCTGGAGTCTCTCCTAATGCCTGCTACCATAGACCCTTTAACTGGAGATGCCAGGGATTGGACCTGTGACCTTCTGCATAAATGTCCTACCACTGATCCATGGACCCTCCCTGTCGGTCGGTCTGGCAAGGTCAGTTATCGGCTGCAATCACATACACTAAATAATCCACTTTCAATGCACTTTCCAACTGGATTTTGCCAGTTCATGCAGTAAAATCAAGTTGGTAAGTGGACTGAAAGTGGATTAAAAGTGGATTATTTAGTGTGTGTGATCGCAGCCATTAATTACTCAGACTGGCAGCAGCTCTCCAGGGTCTCAAGGAGAAGTCTTTCATAACACCCAATACCTGATCCTTTTAACTGGGCTGTGATCACAGACACTAAATAATCCACTTTCAGCGCACTTTCCAATTGGATTTTATTGTGTAACCTGGCAAAATCCAGTTAATGTGCGTGCTCGCAGCCTTGGATCGATGCCAGGGATCGAACCTGGGATTTATAACATGCAAAGAAGGTGTTCTACCACTAAGTCATGGCCGCTCTCATCACTATCTTTGAATTGCAGCCCCCCCCTTCACGAAGTAGGAATTGTATGACATGCTAGTAGGAAGAATGCACAGAAGACCATACTAAAGACAGCACTGAGTACTACGGAACTAATGAGAAACTAAGGGTGATTTCCCACAAGTGCTGCTCCGCGCTCACGCCTTCCTTTTGCCCCGATGATACGTGTCAATTTCACACAAGCTGCTGCGCGCCCACATTTTGCCCCACAGCTTTGTGCGATTTTCCCTCAAAAAACAGGATTGAGTAGACGCGGGGAAAATCGCACGAAGCTGCGAGGCAAAATGCAGCCGTGCAGCAGCTTGTGTGAAATTGACACGTACCATCGGGCCAAAGAGAAGAGTGAGCGCGGAGCAGCGCTTGTGGGAAATCACCCTAAGTTATTTGTGCATATTTTTCCCCTGCATTTCTCATGTCTACTGTGTGTAGCAATTCAACAAAGATACTTAAGAGAAATATGCATCTTGAATTTCCACATCTACCCACAAAGGAGATGCACAAGTTTCTGCTCTGGAGATGACACTGGAATTATGCAGAGGATATGGAAACCACATGAGAGTCCTTTATCGTACTTCCCATAACACTTGAATCTGCCTTAAGAGACTTTCAGTGCAAGTCTAAGAACACTTTTCTGGGAGGAAGTCCCACTGAACGGACCCCAGTGTGATTCTGAGTACAGCTGATTAGGATTGGTCTCCATATTATCCTGAGTTCCATGACATGCATACTGCAGTGTGAACAACCTTTTTCTCCAACGTTACACAAGGGCAGAGGTACAGCTACTCCACTGAGCACGACAGTGAATGTGGAGCCCTTGGTGTGATTCTGCTTCTCGTCTAGAGAGCAGAGAACAAGGCAGCGTAGGAGACAGAGGCAAGAGTGCAGGTCTGACTCTGTGTTGTAGGTGGGCCAACGGGCTCACCCATCCAGGCATGCCATAAACCCCACCTATTTGGGCCATAGGTTGGCCAGACCTGTCATTTGCATAATACACACTAGGTATTATTCAAAAATTGGGGGAGGGGATGGACTTAGAAGAGTTTTATTCTCTGATAGAAAACAGTACTTTTGAAATGCCATGTTTTACAGCTTAAAAATATTGTCAAGAAACTCAAATCCTAACTTTTCCAGAGCTCTTCCAAATGCTCTTTCTTCCTATTTAAACTAAAGAGCAAACGTTGTGAAGAATAAATACCTAAAGAGAATTTAAACCTTGCAAGAGCAGAAAAGGGAAAAAAACACAAGGAAGATGTTAAAAGGGAGGGAGGAGGGAAAACATACTGTGGCGGAACGGGCCTGCTCTGGCCTGCAGGCCCTATTCCTCAGCACCTGGAGGGGCATTTGTTTCTCTCAGGCAACCCGCCGCCGCCACCTGACTTTTACAGGAATTACCCACTTGCGAGGGTCAGGGCTCACAGCTTCCCTTCCACATTCTGAGGCCTTGCCACTGTGTCTCCTGTTGCCCAGCAACTGGTCACCACAGGGACAGTTTAATGCCTTGTGCGCCCTTGGAGTAACAGCCACCTGCCAACTGCCTGCCTTCCCCCAGCGCCCCTGTTAAAATAGCATGTCCAAGATGGTGGAGGTCTATTTGGTACAAAGAACCACTGCCAGCATCTCAAGTTATAAAGTATCTATTTACAAATAAAATGTCCACAAGTATACTTTTAGCACAGCACCAGATTGATCAAGGGATCCAAAAGAAATGGGTAAAGTGCAAATCCTCTCCCTCTCTCTATACATGCCCTATCAGATGTTAAAACAGGACAGGCTCCTTAGTTTAGAATGTTACCAGTCTCTACAGAGTTACATTACTTTGAAGTTCTTTAGGCAAACACATGGTCAAATGGGCTGCCTTCCCAGTGGAGCGGTCTGTGCAGTCATGGACCCATCATCCAAGGAAAAAAGAGACCTCCTTCATGCTGCAAGGAGTTTTTATCACCTCAGTTTCTCTACCTACTGATCTGGTCATGCCAAATCAAAAAGGCTTTTCCTGGAGATCTCCAGGAATCTCCTTCCTGAAGACTCTCTAGCATTTAACACCTCCAAATCTCTGTTTCATGCTTGGGGAAGGGGAGAGCTTGACCCACCCATTATCTCTCCTGCTAGATCTATTTAGCATTTGTATGAGGGTAAGCTGGAAAGCAATTGCACAGACTCCCCCATCTCCAGCCCATTCTCTACCCAGAGGGGAAAAAACCTTTTAAAATGCACAGTGGAGGTTTTGCTCAGCTCAAACCTCACAGCAAAAATGCATTTCTTCACATACACACGATGGAGAAAGATGTTGCATAGGAAATGTGAGCTACGTTGTGTCTCATATTGAAGCAGAAAGGCCCAGAGGTAAAAATTCTATTTTGATTCCATTACCACCTTTACAGAATACAGAAGGGTCTATTGGGCAACACTGGTTTCTGGGGTTATTGATCCTCTGGAGTGAAACAGCACTAGAATCCTCATTAGGCTCTTATTTGTTCTCTCTCATTAATCTTTCAAAGGCAATTTCCATTTTATTGATTTTTCATCTATTTCTAATTATTATTTACTCCAAAGATGGTAGCTGGCACAAGTACAAACCACATCACAATGCGAGAACTAGAAGGGGTCTGAACAGCTAATCTCATACAGCTACTAGTATCCATCATCAGTGTTTCGGGAAAGAGAGATACTCAATTGCCCCACAAATCAGCAATAGCCACACAGACACACACTGCACAAAGGAAAGAGAGCTCTTTCTTACATGGCAAGTGGAGCAGCCACTTACTGGTTCAAAGAATCTCAGAACGACTGGCACTTCTCAGGCCTGGCCAATTATTGTGCTCACAAAAAAGTCCTTTCCATTAGCCTTTTGAAGAGGTAGACGGAAGTGCTGAAGGGCACCCTCTCAAGGCTTCACACATCCAACAGCAGCAAAACCCTTTTGTGAGCGGCAAATTTTACGACGTAGGGGTCACTTCCTTAACTGGCTAGCTTTGACCTCCAGGGAGGAGATTCTACTGTATGCCAACGACCATAATTTACATCTATTCTCTGCGATCACAAGAGCTAGAAATTATTTTTAAACATTACCAGAAACATTCTGTGCAGTTGTGGCATAAACCCCCCACTGTGCAGGGCTGCTAGCTCTTATCACAAAATAAACCCTGTACGGTATTTCCACCATTCAGTTTATCCTGCACGCCGGATCGATACGCTTCTTATTAAAGCCAGCTCTTCGTGTCAACATGCGTTTCAAATGTCAGTTGCTTTTTTAAGGATTCCGTATGCCTGAATGAAAGAAACAAACAAGTCAAGGCTTCCGAACTTCCTCTACATGCAATGTTTGTTTCCTCCCTTCCCAGGAGGCATATGCCCCAGGCAACGATTCTCCTCTACTTATACGCTGAGATCCGGAAAAGCTCTGTTAATGATCGTGGCTGAATTCCCAATGCAACTTAATCCTTGCGAGCGCTGCATGCGCGAAGGAGATGCCAAGCCTGTCGCTTTGGCATAGTTGCTTAACCCTTGTTCTTTTTTGTTTACTAGCGATTCTCAGCTCCACCTAATCGTCACATATGTTAAATGAAGCACCCTTTCCACAACACGCTACCCGACATGATTCAGAAGCTCAGCTATATTTTGGGCTGGTTCACATCATGTCAAGCACCATTAATATGTTCAACACCTATATACAAATCTTTTTGCCAGACGCCTTTGCAAAAATGGCTGCCTACCAAGAGATATTCAGTATACTACAGGGGAAGTGTGGTACAAATGGAACAACTATTCAACATCACTCTAACATGAAAGATCTAACAATTCTTGAAAATAACATTTATTCATAATATATATGTAGTGTATGAAAGAGTATTCATACCAGTGTAAATAGTAAATAACTCCTCACCCATTATACTTAACCACAGAAAATGTCCTACGACAGTCATAGTGAGAGAGTCAAGTGAGCAGATGTAGCCCAATTTATATATTATATTATTATACACCACCACCTGGAATTATCCTCAGGGAGAAAAGGTTTAAGGGCTTTGAGTTAATGTGTTTGTTCCACCACTCTCACTGCTATTAGAATGCAGGATTTCCCAACTCTGGAGAGACAACCCTAGTGAAATACCATGTTCATATAACAGCCATGGGACATCTCGTCAGTGTCCCTGAAGCAATTACAGTGGGTGCGGGAGGAA